ATCTTCCTGTTTCTCTCTTTACGTGTCTTTCAGCGTGTCCTTTTTGTCTCTTCTCCCTTCTCCCTTCTTTCCTCTCTCCTCTCTCCCTTTTCTTTTAGTCATTCTAACAAATATAGACCCTTCTCCCGGGCTCCACTTTCACCACATACAATGGCCTACGTAAAACCCACTTAGAAGTCTCAAAAGGAAATCACACGCCCATCAGGAAATCCTGTCAGCTCCCCCCTCAAAATACATCTGGAATCTGACCATCTCTTCCCAGCCCATTACTACCTGATCCACGCCACTGCCTCTCACCAGGACTGTTGTAGTCACCTTCTGACTGGTTTCCCTGCTTCCACTCTTGACCTCCTAGAGGTATACTTTCTTTTCTTTTCTTTTTTAATTGAAGTATAGTCAGTTACACTGTGTCAATTTCTGGCATACAGCACAATGTCCCAGTCATGCATAGACATACATATATTCATTTTCATTTTCTTTTTCATTAAAGGTTATCACAAGATATTGAATATAGTTCCCCGTGCTATACAGAACCTAGAGGTATACTTTCAAACCCCAACAAAAGTAATCCCATTAAAATATGTCTGATCAAGAAGCCTGATCCCTGGCTCAGAGGCCACCTGTGGTCCCCATCACACTCAGAGGAAAAGCCAAAATCTTCAACACTGTGGCCTCTCTCTGAGCTTCTCCCACCCGCTCCTCACTGCTCCTTGAAAGGTCCACGGACATTCCTGCCTCAGGGCCTTTGCATACACCCCTCCACTTACTTGGATTGCTCTTGCCCCAGGTACCCACGTGGCTTGCTCCCTTGCTCCTGCAATTCTTGGTTCAAATTTCATCTTATCTGTGAGAACTTCCCATCCTCATAACTCCTGATCCATCTTACCCTGTTCTACCTTTCTTTCCTCCTTTATCAGCTAACATGCTCTACAACTCCTTTATTTCTTCTGTCTATGGCTGTAATGGCCAGTTGGACGTATTCACCTGACTAGGCTACAGTCCCAGGTTTTCAAACACTAATCCCAGTGTTGCCATGAAGGTATTTTGTAGATGCAATTAAAGTCTATACTTAGTCGACTTTAAGTAAGGAAGATTATCCTAGATAATCTGGGCAGGCCTGATTCAATAGGGTGAAAGGTTTAGAGAACAGAGAGAGCTGAGACTTCCTTTCCTAGATTCAGTTCCTTTCACTTTTTACCGTAACCCACAATGGGGAATTTATTTTACATCATTTTCTACCACAAACACACACACACCTGAAACAAAAGATCACAAAAGAATAATCTTAGTCATACGAACAGAGCAAATATTACATGCCAAGAACTGTTTCAACAGTTAATACTCATAACACTGCAGTGAGGCAGATACTAGGGTTAATCCCCATTTTACAGAGAAGAAAACTAAGGCCCAGAGAAGTTAAGTAACCTGTCCAAAGTTACACGATGAGTGGGAGAATCTGAACCCAGACCGGCTGGCTTCAAAACAGCAATTTCCACTATCCTGCGGCATGTCTCAACAACCTCTGAAAATATATAACTGAAGCAAAAGTTCCTCAAAGCAATACTTACTTTACTCCATACAATGCATTCTGATATTTTCCCATTCTGTTTTATTTTGTTTCTTTGTTTAATGCTGGTTGTAACCCACTATTTTTTGGACCCATGAATGGGTCAGGACCCACAGTTTGGAAAACAGGCCTTTGGAAGCCTTCCCTAATTCATCCTCATCCCAGGACCCTTGCCCTCTGACCTCCTGCATCCTCCTGTATCACCGCACCCACGCCTGCAGAGCTCTCCCCCCCTCATCTCTGCCAGGGGCTCCCTGTCTCCAGCCTTCTCATGGGCTCCAGACCTGAGTTAAACCCAAGCCTCACCTCAGCCCAGACTCCCATGGCGCCAACAGCATCCTGGATGCCTCCCCCAGGTGCCCAGCATCTCAGTTTGTAAAGGCTGCCATAACAAAGGACCAGAATCTGGTGGCTTAAAACCGCAGAAATGCATCCTTTCCCAATTATGGAGGCTAGAAATCTGAAATCAAGCTGTTGGCGGTGATGCACTCTCTCCAAAGTTTCTAGGGAATGATCCTTCCTTGTCTCTTCCAGCTTCTGGGAGGCCCAGGCTCTGTTAGCTTCCTTGGCAGCATCACGCCCATCTCTACCTCTGTCTTCCTCCCTCCGTGTTTCTCTCTCCTCTTCTTACAAGAACAGCAGTCATGTTGGATATAGGGTCCACCCTCCTCCAGGATGGCCTCATCTTAAGTGATTACATCGTTGATGACTCTGTTTCCAAATAAGATCACATTCTAAAGTTCTAAGGGATAGGACTTTATTATTATTTTGGGGGGAGGGGTTGGGCACACAGTTCAATCCAAAAACCTGTGGAACACCTTACACTCCCCATGTCCTAACTGACCCCATGCCCCCAGCTGAGACCTGGGTCAGAGAACTGGTTGTCACTGAGACATTTTTCTTCCCCTGGGCATCCAAAGGAGGCCATGGCTCCATGAGAGTCTGGGTAAAGGGAGTAGCTGGGTCTAAATCTGGTCTGGAGCTCATGAGAAGGCTGCAGGTGAGCAGCCATTGGCCAAGGTGTACGGAGCTGTGCAGTTACGTGTGAGGGGCCGGAGATCAAGGTCAGGGTCCATGCATTCCTTCAGCTCCTTCAGTGTCCTCAGCTCTTGCCAGCTACCCTGCCACTTCATTATCTGTTGAATAAATTAAAATTCATTAAAACACTTCATTCATTAAAACACAAAACCAAAACTTGATCCGTAGTTGTCTGTCTCCAGCCTCACAGCCCCAGATCAGAGGTGGAGCAGCCTCCTCAATGCTTCACCTTGGATGGCCCCAGGCACTTAGTGTCCTCCACCTTCTAGACTGACCTCAGCCAAGATGCTGAGGTCTCCCTCTCTTCCAGTCTAAAGTGCACTCCCTCCACCTGTCGTAATTCCCCTGAGGACTGAGTACCCCACCTCTTGTGACTTTTCATAACTGCTGCCCACGCTTTGCCCTTGTTTAAACTGTTCAGCCCTCTTCCATCATCCCATCTGAGAGGCCATCAGCTTCCTCCCTGGTAGAGCCCCCACTTCCTCTGAACCTTCCTCCAGGGCACTGCTGTGCAGAGCTCCACCTGCCGCATACGCGCACACCACAGCTCTGGGGTGGGAGTGGGGGTGGGGGTCCCTTTTGGCTATTGTTTGGGGAACTTGGGGATCTCTGTTATGCATTTTTGGAAAAGGACCTGTGAACAGAGATCCTTAAGGGGGGGGGGGTGTCTCTTTTATTTCTATGTGACTAGTGTCTGTGAGAGGGGAGTCCAAGCTTGATTTCAGAGTCTGCAGAATGCACAACGAAGGTCAAATTCTCACCCAAGGTCTGCAAGAGTCTGAACTCTCCCCATTTTGCCTCTCTTTCCTTTCTTTTTTTTTTTTCAATGGAGGTACTGGGGTTGAACCCAGGGCCTTGTGCATGCTAACCATGCACTCTACCACTACACCTATATTCCTATACCTCCCCCTCCTTGCCGCTCTGATCTTATCTCTTACTCAGCCGGCCTCCTGCTTATTCTGTAAACACACCAGAGCCAATTCCACCTTGGGGCCTTTGAACGCACCATCTCCTCTGCCTGGAACACCCTTCTCCTGTTTTCCTCAACGTATTTGGACTCTGCTCAAGAGTCACCTCCACAGAAAGGCCTCCTCTGAGCACCCTGTATAAAACAGCCTCTCCTTCCCTCCTCATCCTTCCACTCTGCCCCCTTTTCCTTCACAGCACTTATCACCCACCTGACATGATATTCTCTGTTTATTCAGTGGTTGTCACTGCACCCTCTTCCCACCTAGAATGTCACCTTCATAAGGACAGAAGTCTTGTCTACTTTGCTCGCTGCTATGCCTGCCAATGTCCAGAACAGTGCCTGGAATAAAGCAGGAGCTCAATAAATACACATGGAACAATAGAATAAAAGAAGCCCTGATATTTATTACATGCAACATTTTGTGCACCTGCACATTTCCCCAGGGTGGGAGACCACAGTTTTTGTCACCACTCCAGTGGGGTCTAGGAGCCCAGAGTTTAAGAACAACTGTAAAGTTGGTCCTGGAAGACCTGGGATCTAGTAGGGTGGGAGGGGACCCTGGACAGAGCCCGAAGAAGGATGCAGAAAGGGAATCTGGGATCAAGGTGAAGGTTGGGTGTTGGTGTCCAGTCTACAGGTGACCTGTGTCCGAGAATGTGGGGGGGCACATTCGTGGGAGGGACCAAGGACTCCTTCCTGCTCCACCTCCTGCTTCCCATGTTTTGGGGCAAATACGGGCCCCCCCTCCCCCAGCCTCTGAGGAAACAGACATAGGGATTTCAAAGTCAACCAGAAACGCTCTTTATTCACTAGAGCTCAACACTCGGGCCCAGCCCTGAGCCAAAAACCGAACAACTTAAAATCTGACTTGGGGCTCTTTTTTGCCCCTAAAATAAAATCTAGGCAGTTGCCATTCCCATCTGGGCACTAAAACCACTCTTCCTGGGGGAGCTTCGTGGACTTTACTGTTGCAGGAGGAAACAAAGGAATTTTACAAAACTATCGCGACTTGCGGGTGGGTAGGAGGTGGCGGAGAGACGCCTTCTAGCTGGGGAAAGGATCCATCGGTGATTTCCATTGGGGGCAGGAGCGCAGTGAAACGGAATGAAATGAACAATGGGAAGAACAACCAGGGGGAGGTCAAGGGTATCGGCTGTCGGCTCACCCCAAAGCCCTCCACCCCCTGATAAGCCTGCAAAGACATGGTGCCCCGCTGCTGTGGCCCCTCCTCCCTCCAGCTCCTGATGGATGGGCTGTTGAGGGCAGGGCAGGACCCATCCAGTGCCGTCCACGATGAAACGGTGGATCTGCCGGTGGCTGAAGAAGGTGGAGAGGGCGGGTTGAAGTCAGGATCCCATCTTTAAGTTCTTGGGCTGGAAGGTCCAAGCCAGCCTGTTCCCTCTCTCCACATTCTGAGGGGCGGACTGGAAGAGCACAGTGGGGTTCTGTAGGTCCAAAGGGTCCAAGAATTCCAAAAGGAATGGAACCCCAGGGGCTAAGAAGTCAAAGGGGCAGGGCTGGTGGCCCAGAAGGACTAAAGATCCATGAACCGTGGCCCAGAAGGATCCACAGGGCTGTGCAGTCCAAGGAGCTGGGGTCCTGCTGCACCCAGAATCCACGGATATCTCCAGTACAGAACCCTTAGGGCTGAGAGGTCCAAGGGGCAGGGCTGGCCTGGCTCTCCACAGACTCTATTGTTTCAGGATCCAGCAGGGATGGAGTTCTGGAGGTCAGACATTCCAAAGGGTTGGGTGACTCCAAGGGAGGTGGGGTGAGTCCAGGGACTTGGTAGGACTAAACCAGGAGGGCTGGGGGTGCGGGGGCTGAGCACCTCATGGTCCTCAGCGCTTGAACTTGCGGCCGGCCGAATTGCGCCCACTGCGGCGGTAGAGAGACTGCTGGCCCCCGTTGAGCGGGCAGTACTTGAGCGTGTGGGCCTGGTCACCTGTGGCCCCGCACAGGGGACACACATAGTGCCGCAGGATGGGACACACCACCACACCCTCCGGGGTCTTCAGTTGGTGTGAGGAGTACACGTGGCGAGACTCCCCATTGTGCTTGCAGAAGTTGCAGAGGGTGGCCAGGCCCCCACTAGGCCCCCGCCCTCCCGGCCCCTGCTCTTGCTGGGCCCCAGGTCTCGGCTCCCCAGTCCCTGGGGCCTCCTGCCCTTGCCCCCGATTCTGGATCAGGGCCAACACCACCTGGCTCAGGTTGAAGTAGTCCTTCCACATGTCGAAGGGTGGCAGCTGCATAGCCCCCTGGCAGTGGTGTAGGTGGCTGGAGAGAGATGGGCTGGGGCCCCAGTGGACAGAAGCAGCAGATGGTTTTCTGGAGCAGAGAGGAACTGAACCCCTTTTTATACTCCTCAAAGACCCTTCTGAACAAAGGTGGAGCTTAGGATTTAAAGGGCCCACTCCTCACCCTTGGTCCCCATCTGACTTTAATCCTCCATGGATAACTGGAAGGGGGTCATTCCCCTCATCTCTCGTCCTTGCTCGAACTGCCAGGTGCTGTGATCTGGAAAGGCCCTTCTCCCTGGGCCTCAGTTTCTTTATCTGGTCAATAAAGTCCCATGTCTGCAAATTCCCCCAACCCCCCTCCTCCCTTCAAGGCTGGGGGCTGCCCTCTCTAGAGCCATTCCTAATAATAACAACAGTCCCTGACTATGAGCTGGTTGCTGGGCTCCCACAGTTACCTTCATGATCTGATTTCACTCCCACAACAACTCCACGTGGGTAACATAGTTACCATTTTCTAGACAAGTTGCTGAAGCTCAGAGGGGAAAACTCCTACTGGCCCAGAGTCACATTAACACCCAAGTGGCATAGCCAGGGCTCGCAACTCCAAAGCAAATGCTCCTCCTATCTCTTTTGGATTAAAACCTATTTTTTTGGTCACATCTGGAATTAGGAGCCGCTGATTCAACACAGATTTCTTGAGAGTGCACCAGAGTGTTCAATGTTTTTGAAAAAGGGTCTCTTTGAGCCTCATAACCATTCAAGGAGGCAGGCACCAGTGTTTCCATTTTATAGAAAAGTCTATGAGGCTCAGAGAGGTTAAGGAAGATACTCAAAGTCACACAGCAGGGAAATGGCAGAGTTGGGATTGACACCCATCTCTGACTTCAGAGACACAAGAAATTGATCTTAGAAGCAGAAGAGGAGCCTGGCATGACAGACTCATTTAGAATGCCCACACTTCCCCCTTGGCCTGGCACATTTTCCCAGATCCTTTCTGAGCTTCAGGACCAAGTAAAAGCCTTGCCTCCCGCCCATGCCAACTCCAGGAATTCTTCCTCCACCTGTGCTCCCCAGTTGGTCTCCTTGACCACTCAACATACAAATCATTGAAGTCCCTTGTATTGGACGCTGGAAACTCAGCAGTGACCACATCTACCCTGTGCCTGTTTCACAAACAACCAGTCTAGCCAGCTAATGAGAAAACAATAGCCTGTAAAGACCCGATTACACAGACAGGGTGCTCTGAGAGAGGCTGAGCTGGGAAAGGTGACAGGAAGCTGAGATCACATAGAACAGTCTTCCAGGAAAAGGAACACGAGATATGGAGCCCTGAAGTCTGGGGACAGCAAGGGGGCTGGAGTGGCCAGAATGGGGTGACAGTTCCCAGATGAGGCCAGCCCGGGATGCAGGGGCTGGATGCCATCAGACTGTGACCTCCCTCAGGGGATGTTTTAGAAATGATGGGGTCATTTTGGGTTTGTTATAGTGATTGGAGGGGTGACTGGATGTAGTGGACAGGGACCAGGGATGCCAGATAACCATATGACCAAGATCTGTCCTGGGACCCACTTGACTTTTCAATGTCCCACTGGACACCCATGTATGTAGAAAAACCCATTTATGCTGGCCTGAGCCTAGAACCGAGCTATGTTTTACATATAAACACTAAGCGCTTTTGCAATATTTTAAGATACACCGACTTTTCCTGGAATAAAACTGTTGTATACACCATGGCCTGCTTCTTGATTTTGGTAGGAACCTTATCTAAAGTTGTTCACTATTTCCAGAAACCGCATCACCCCAGGCAATGCTGATTGTGGTGCTTGTCCAAACAACACACAGTTTATTCCTATTTCCTATTCATGGTGAGTCTACACAAAGATGCGAGTACCTGCCTGATGAGATGCTCTTTCCAGTGGCCATGCTTGAGCATTTATAGATGAAAATATATTTTTTATTATAAACTGCTGTCTTTTAATTTCTCCTTTGCAGTTCAGTTAGGACATGATCTTAATTTTCTTTTCTTTTTTTTAAAATATATTTTAATTTTATTATTTATTTATTTATTTTATTTTTCCCCTTTTCGAAGGCACTGGGGATTGAACCCAGGACCTTGTACACACCAAGCACGTGCCCTACCACAAGCTATACCCCCAGCTTTCCAATTTTCAAAAATAAAATGTGTGTGTTGGTGGACTCTATTACCTAGGAACTTAATTTCAGAATCCTCAAGGGGCATCTCAAAAGGTTAGATAAAGTGGGTGTCAGGTCTCACTGGGTTAAGCACCCGTCATGTAGGTGAATATCAGCCCATTGGTCTTTGTCTTCGGGGCAATAGGGAGCCACTGAAGGGTAAAAGCAGGGGAGGGGCAAATGAGAAATGTTTTAGGACGCTCCTCTGGTTGCTGTCAATTGAATAGAGGCTATCCCCATCAGTTCACATTGTCTTGAGCTGATCAGGGAGCGAAGTCTGAACAAAGTCTGTTGAGGACTCCTTGATGGCAACTACTAGGTCTTGCCTTCGGAAGAGCTTAATACATGCTTACTGAGTGAATGTATCATCTCTGTGGTTGGGCTCAAGGCTGGGAGGGGACAAAGGGAGGAATTTATGAATGTCAGAGGAAAGGTCTTTTTGTGGTGTGATTTCCCAGCTTTCTGTAATTTCCTTTTTTTTTCCTGGGAGAAAAATGTTTTTTTTTAATTGAAATATTGTTGATTTCCAACATTGTGTTAGTTTCTGGTGTTCAGCCTAGTGATTCAGATACACATATATATGTTCTTTTTCATATTCTTTCTCATTATAGGTTATTACAAGATATTGAATATAGTTCCCTGTCCAAACAGTAGGACCTTGTTGTTGATCTGTTTTATATATAGTAGTTAGTATTGCAAATCCCAAACTCCTATTTTATCCCTCTGTAATTTCCTTTTGAAGTAATGATTTGGATAGTGGATTGTTTGATGTCTGTCCTCACTGATAATCTGTGAGCCCCAGGAGGTCAGCCCCAGGTGATGATGTTCGCAGCATCACCCAGCACAGGGCCAGGTGGCCACAGAGCAGGTCAGGGGATGTTAGCAGGATGAGTGTCCACAGACCGATAATAAGTCATTCAAATGGGTGATTCCTGTGTCTTAAGTGCTTATGGTGTTCTTTATTGTTCAGCTGTAATATCTCCTCCTCCAGGAAGTCTGCGAGACCCTCAGGCTGGGTCAGCCTTCTCTGAGTGCCCCCATCCCAGCCCTGCCTACTCTGAGTCATCACTGACTGGGGTTGGGTCAGTCTCTCCTTCTGGACCATGAGCCTGTGAGGGCAGGGCTAAGGCTGTTCCACAAGTACGTTTATGTGCTTCACGTCATTTAACTCTCATTGCTTTCCTAAGTACCATTATTGTTCCTGATTTGCAAAGGCAGCAACTGATGATCAGAGAAGTTAGGTGACTTGTCTGTGGTCACACAGCTGGCAGGCAGCAGAGCTGGGATTCCAACTTGGGTCTGCCCTAGTCTAGTCTTTGCCCTTAACCACTGCCCTACACTGCCTCAATAAATACTCAATAGAATGAATGAATAAATGAGTGCATCTGGGAGCTACCCAGCATCTTCCAGATCACCTGGTCAAGTTTACCTTACTTTCTTATTTTACAGATGTAAATGAGGCCTCAAGATGGGAGGGATCTCAGTTTCAGTCTCTTAAAGCCATCGTTCCTGACCAAGGTCCCTGGATTCACCTGCACATCGGGTACTTTCTGGAAACCCATTAATAAAAGTACACCTGTGGTCATAAGGTGGGCTGTGAGGTTTTCTGCTTGTTCATCTCCCTGAAGAGGTAAATCAGACCTCTGTGTTATAATATTGGGGTCATGGGATCGGGCAGTGGGATGACTTGAGCACAAAATCCACCCCCCACCACAGTTCACTGGGTGGGTAGCATCCTGGATAATGTCTCAGTAATCAGCCCTGGGTTCAAGCCAGGCTTTACCACCTGCTCGCTGAGTGGATGTGGGCTAATTATTTAATCTTTCTTAGCCTCAGTTTTTTCATCTTTCAAGAGGAAATGACATCAGTGCTTGTCCAGGGGCCATGGACTGTAATTGTGTTTGCAAACAGCACAGAGCTTGGTTCGTGGGATATGCTGATGACATGTTAGCGATGATAATTGACAAGATTAAGGCAATAATCTCAAGGGGACTTATTTACTGAGCATCTCCTTAGGGCCAGCACTATGCTCAGGGCTATACCCATGTCTATTTCCCTGTATCATCCCCAGACCCTGTGAAGCAGGGTCTAGCAATAGCCCCATTTTACACATGAGCCATGGGAGGTTCAGAGAGGCTGAGGGGCTTGTCCAAGGTTATATGGACGATTAAGTGGTAGGCTGGAACTGGAACCCAGGACTGGCTGAAGAGCCTGCAAAGGTGTTCAACAGAAAGCAAGGGAGCAAGTGGGACTTGCCAGGCATAGGGACAGAATGAGGTGAAAACCAGGAAGGATGAGGGGATCTGAGTGACATAGATTTTCACAGGGAGAAGATTTCGGCCATCAGTGGACATATTCCAGGGCAGGAGAGACCGAGGTCTGCCATGTGGCAGAACAAGGCTCTTGGAGGGAGGAACCAGGATGGGTGAGGGGACCTCTGCACCAAGTGCTTTCCACAAAGTCACAGCTGAAACCTCCAGCATGAGAAGTGCCAGTTTCCCGTGTGCAGCAGGACCGGGACCCGGGGACCCAGTTAATTGTTGGTCGCTGCAGCTGTGGCATCTGCTGGGAATCGTGAGAATGACTAAGGAGTGGAGCAGCTTTTGAGGCTCCATGACTTCCTTTAACAACCGCACCTGTTTGGAGACTCTCAGATTCTGTTGCTTGTGAGTTTTATTTTTTTCCTTAAAAATAATATTTCTATATTGACGTAAGTTTACAATGTGTTAATTTCTGGTATACAGCATAGTGAATCAGATATATATATATATATATATATATATATATATATATATATATATATATACCCTTTCCTATACTTTTTCATTGTAGGCTATTACAAGATATTGAATATAGTCCCCTGTGCTATAGAGTAGGACCTTGTTGTTTATCTTTTTCTTTTCTTTTTATTTTTTCCCTGATTGTTTTCTTCTAGAACTCTGTTATTGAGGCCATGACTACCCTCCTCCCCACCCCAACTGGGTGGTGCTTTATTGGATCAGTAGCTGGAATACAACCCTTCTCAGATAAGCTTTCTTCCATGGTGTAGTTGTTGCCATGTACTGAGGGAAAGTCAAAGATGATGTTGAAGAGAAATTCATCAGCCTGGTGTTTACTTGATCATAACCTCCACCCCCACGGCAAAGCCTTACCACTCTCTGCTGGCCAGACGCCACAGCTGCCCTGTTTATTTGTGAGTTTCCCTCTCAGCCTCACGCCTGCCAGAAAACAGCTCATGGGGGGTC